AGTCAACTGGATGTTCACTCTTAGACTCGAACACAGTACCGTTCGTTTTAAATACTATCGCGATATCCATTTATACACTGAGTCCTGATAGTCACTTCTTTGTTTTGAAGGATGCTTTGATGATTTTGGGTTGATTAGATTCTCATCCTATAAGTGCTTCTTTGGACAGCATCAGTGCAACTCCCTGAGCGTGCGGCACATTTTCTCCCTCGTGACCAGAGTACAGCAGCATCTCTCCTGAATCTAATCTATTCTGTCCACCCTTGGCCTGATGGATTTCACTTAGTTCGAGCACCGCCAACTTGTATTTCCTCGTTTCCGTAGCCATTTGACTGGCTTTCTTAGTCTCCTGAATTGTCCAGACACTCCATGTACCTCTATTGATTGTTTCTCTGGTTGTTAGAAGGAGCATGGGTTTCGTGACTTCCGAAGAATTTCGACTTTCACGATGAGGCGTCATAATTCTTTTGAAAGAAGATCCTCTAACTCGGAGGGCACAGTCTAAGTGGTTTAGCTCGTTTATTCTGGCTAGCGCTTTATTATCAAGGTCGTTTTCTACGAAATGAGGTTTCAGGTTTCATACCAAGCTCTCTTCTTTTGTCCAAGTTTGGGACCGGCAATAACGTTGAAGAGCTACATATAACTCACTAAAGTGCAACTGTAATGTTAAGGCGTCAACAGATAAATCATTTGAATGAACTAATTTGACTTTTCTTTTATGATATAAACTTGATGCTAACCATTGCCTTATTTGTTGGAATGAACCATCACTGCATAGTATAGAACCTATCCATTAAAAACCATATTTTGCATGTCATATTGTAGTGAACAAGAGCACGAGTGGTGACAACCGGATGTATTTAGCACGAAATGTACAGACTATTTGGATAAAATCTGAATACCATATAGTAAATCGTCAATTTGCAAAATATTAATGCATCATATCAAACTGGACTGTTTTTGTTGCAAATATCAATCCATTGTCTCCCATTCCATTGATCATGCGTTTTCTAACAAATTCCATTGTGTTCTCGCTCTTCTTTTCTTGATCTTCCCCTCATCTTCTGCTGCCAGACATTACGTTTCTGACTCGCGTAATATACTACTTACATCAATATAAGTAGCACACTCCACAATATGACTTCCTTGCTTTCATGCATTTCCCAACAGACATAAGTGAATAAGAACTTTAAAGTACTATAGTCACTGATCACCAAAGTGATTGAAAGTTAATATTGTACAGCATAATAAGGTATAGCAAAGTATCTATACGATCACTTTATACGCAAAATACATTTACATATGTATGTTTATATAAATTTATGAAAATTATCTAACGACATCAAGAGATACTATACAAAATTCTAATAAAAAATGTTAATACCTAATTCTTTTTGTTTATCCTGTCACTCATGGTAGTAAATAATGCTAATGTTGGCAACTGAATATATGTAGTATTACAGATACTGATATAAGGTTTCTATATTTTAACATGTTCAAAGCGACTTTTATTAAGCATGATACTTTTGTTGAAATGAACGGCGTTGTATAAGCTAGAGATCAGGTTTACCGCGTGATACAGTCTGATTTCTTACTTGTTAGTAGAAATATATCCTACTAAATTTCAAGTGTTCCAACATTAATTTGGAGGTCATGTCAACTATCGGGCGTAATTCGTACGATTTACCGTACAAATCTGTTTAAGAATTATTTGAATAAATACTTATGATGGATTCATAATACACGAAATAAAGTTATTTGAACTATAATAACCAAAATATTTCTGTAGAGCCTTTAATTCAGTTGTTAAACCTTTAGATTCATTCATGATTGCTGTAAACAAATAAAGAGCTTGTTTGTTGTCTTACAATATGCTAATTTCGAGAGCTTAACAAACTCGAAGCAACTCATCAAAGCAAACTACTATGTCTAATTTTAATTAATATTCAGAATAACTAAACTACTCAGTAGAAAGTTATTTCAATAACCTTATTCATACTTGAGGCAGATGAGTAGATAGTAATTAGTTAAATTTACTGACTTCGCTATGAAAAATGTCAAAATGATTGCTATCTTTTTTATCAGAAAAAAACACCTGCACAGTTTGATTTCTGGTCAAAACTTTTGCTGCAAAATGGAGCGAAAATGTTTAGCCCAAGATATTCCTAAAGCTAAACAAATACAGTTGAATGGAAATGGAGAGTTAATTATTAAACGTCAGCAAAATAAAAAATTTCGTAATACAATAAAATCTAAAGACCACGAAAGAATACAGATCTGAATTAATTCATTTAGTAAGAAATAACACATAATAAGTTCATAGTACTCAGCTTGTAATTTTTCATTATTAGTATTAGATAATAATAAGATGTGATCAGGAAGAAGCCTTGATCGTCTCCAGCAATGCGTATTTGAAATGTAGTGGGGACTGATACTCCTAGTAGGATTTGAATCCAAATAATCCAGTGACACTATCAAAGATTTACAGTCGAGCTATTTAGGATGCCAAAAAATCCTGTGAAAACGAGACGCTTGAATACTAGGTGATCAATGGAATGTCACCTACATCCTTATATATATATATATATATATATATATATATATATATATATATATATGGTGTTTCACAAAATGTTAAACGATATTTGGTTACTAAGTATCTTATTCTTAGATATATTATTGACTAAATTCAATCGATATGGTTGCTATGTGATCACTACTCGAAGTGACTGGACATTGCATGCACTACTTTTTCGATCTATATAGTTGGAGACAGTTAGCAGAAAACATAGAATTTAGGTCTAGTCTTAGCTGGTGCTCGTCAAAATAGTCTACCTGAAATCGTTAAAGAACGTATGATTTTCTTTAGATGGGTATCAAATAGCATGAGACCTGGGTCCCAGGTTTCTAGCTCACTTAACATTACATTAACATGATTATTTCTAAGAATTTTCATCGGTTTATTTCAAAACGTTACACGAATTTAATGGTTTTTAGAGCATGGATTGATTTGATTATGCTAGGTTTGAACAAATAAATAAATAAATATATTTGGCGATGATTCTTTTTAAATTTTCATTAACAATTCTTCAGTCTCATTCTTCTATGTAATGATGTATTTATGCATGAATGTTTAATTTTACAGATGCACAATACTTATCCATAATGTACATCGAAATTGGCTTATTGCACAGTTTAAGTCAAATGTATTTATAACTAAATATCTAGTTCAAAATTAGAGTTAGAGCTAATTTGAAAAAAAGTCAGCAACGTGAAGTTAAATGATGAAATTTGTAATCAAGAATAATGTCACTGAAATATAAGATAAGCAAAGACAGCTAAAAGGGTTTTTAGAATCACAAAACTTTTGACCGAGAGTTTAAATTAATTTAAAGTAGTAACGGTTCCTTCAAGCACTATTAACATGAAGTGATGTTTACTTTTTTTCAGTCGTATTTTGTCCTTATACATTAAGGAGTTGCTCCATTATTTCACATGAACTGTGTTTAAATATTTAATGTTATTTATGGTACGACTGATATATTATCGTCCTACATAACTAATACGTTTTTCAATTATATACCTCGTTTCACACACTTAGTTTCTTTTGTTATCTTAAAGAAGACAAAAAAAAGATTCAAGTTCTGTTTACTAAAAATCAAAGTAGGCCACACAACAGTTTCCGGTTCTGTTATAAAATTTAGATTTACCTGAATGGCTAACTTTTCATTGACATATTGCTCCAATTACTAAAGATTTCTAACAATCATTTAAAATGTTAGCAATCTAATTAAATAATGATTGGATAATATTTTAAAATTGACTGAATATAGATCTCACATAAAACTTTAAATCTCAGGCTGCTAATGGTCAACTATGATGAAAATAGTTAACTAATGGTAACACAAAATGGGTTACAAGTAATTTAAAGAGCATAACGATTTGTAGATCAAGAGGGAAACGTGAAACATGTTGCATTTTCTCTTGAAATCAGAGAATACAACAACTCCAAAGCTAAAGAATTATAGAATCGTTACAATTCGAAAGAACAACTGAGTCATCATAGTTTTCATTATTTTATAAAGGATTATTTTTGTAAAACCAATAACCAGTATATGTGCCAAGTTCTATTCCATAGATTAATGTAAACAATTGTTTTATAGAGATATTATTTAATTTACTTTTAACCTTCTTACATAGTATTTTATGTTTTATTCTTTTCTAAACATTAAGGTTTACAAGAACTGAAAAACCCAGAACAGAAAATTGATTTAAATAATTTTAATGTGTATGTTGTTTTATTTTTTTTTATACTCCTTATTATAATTGCAATTATTTTACTAAATAAATAATAGGCTGAAGACATACATACAGTAATAAGGCAGTGAATGTCTCCATACTCAACTGTTTACAATGATCATTTTAATCTGATACAAATAAAGAAAAAGCAACCAGGCGCATAACTGATGCTAAACCATACACATTTTCAGGTAAAGTGTATTTTAATTAAGGATATAAGGTGATATATATATATATATATATATCCATTTGTAATGTTAGAACTAATATTGCTGTGTTATCACGAATATTTTTATGATTATTTGAAGTGACGAGCAATAATCTTGTTTTATTCATCTTCTGTCTTTCAGTTTTTAAAATTGGGTGGTTGCAAATTGTTGACAAATAATTGGCATTGTCATTAAATAATTGTTAGATAATATTAAAAAATAACACAATGAACACCACCAACAAAGAAACAATAATATGAAAAAAAATAATGAAATGAAATTCAAAAAGATAAACAAACAATTAAATATGTGCTATTGTAGTAGAAAACCAAAGGAAAATTATATGAGCAAATAGGTAAAAACATCCCTATTCCTTATGTTTCTTATTCAGTTTGTATTTTAATAATAAGTTGTGGTAAAAAAGAAAGGATAGAATTTAAATTTTCGATGAAAAAATAAATTCTTTAATTTGTTTATTTTTCTCTATTCAATTTAAAAATCAGCAAATTCTGCTTCGAATTTATTAATTTTACTTTTTTTCAATGGTTCTTCTCGATATCTTTCAAAATTTGTTGCATCACCAGGTCCTTTACAACTGGGTATCAGAGGAGCTGTTACCTAAAATATTTTCGTAAAAAATCAAAACCGAAAGAAAATTAATTGAAATTCAAGTCATTGTACATTGAATGTCATGTAAAAAGATAATCTTATCATTATTGTAATTTCAATTCTACACAATTTACGGTAATAGTTGAGAGTCGACTATTTAGTTGAACATGATCAGATTCATTATCCCGAATTAATGACCGTAGTTACCGTTATAAACAAAAATTAATGTGAAGGCGTTTCTTGCAGGCAGAAACAGGATAAATCAACATTGATTACTTACTTCAATTCCAAATGTCTCAATCGACGTGCTTACAGTTTTCAATATCCAAATAATGGATGATTCTCTTTACAATGTATTATAAATACTATCGCATTTAAGTTGAATATAAAGCACGGGTTTACCTTCAAAAACTTAATTTTCAAACTCACTGAAGTTTAAATTACAAATAATTCATAAGTTCATCAGGCTAGATGACAAAATACACCATATGTTATGATTCTGATAGTGAAGTCATCGGAAATGGCTTTCAGTTAGATGGGATCATAGTTATTGGATTAAGTGGGAATCATCACATTCACAGTTATGAGAAAATCCAGTTGCTATAATTTACGATTACATGATATTATTTTTAAATGGTAAATAACAATTTATGTAACACACTAACAAGTTACATGCAATTGTTTACATCAATAGAAAATTTTTTATTGTAAATGACCTTCTGTTAATTACTAGCTCTTCAAACTATGGAACAAACAAACGGAATATAAGTTCTAAGATGTAGATCGTGCTAGATTCTTAAGTAGCACAAGTTTAAAAATACCAACCGTCAGATTTCAACAATATGTCTCACTGGTTTGCATAATCTCTGGAAGAAACGAAAGTCCTATTTTCAGTTTTGAGTGAAAACGGTTAAATCCCCACTGTGTAAGAATTTCAAACGAAAAAGAGAGATTTCAGTTAATCTGTATTGATCACCAATTCTGAAGCTAATATAATTTTGTCATAGATGATTCTGTTTTATTAATTTCTAATCCAATAAACTGTTAACCATGATTCTATTGAAATAACAAATTTCAACACATACACAAGGGAAAAAGCAAGATTCGAAAATACAGCACGGAGAATACCAACCAGTCACATCTGATAGAGAGGCTCTGGAACAGGTGGAAACTCTCACGTTCCTGGACAGCATCATCGATGAACGGGAAGAAGCTGGTGCAGATGTAAAGGCAGGAATTAGCAAAGTATGTACAGCATCTCTACAACTGGAAAACATATGGAACTCAAAACAACTGTCAACCAACATCGGTCAGTCTGAATCTTCAACATGAACGTCAAGATAGTTCTAGTGTGCGGAGCTGAAATGTCGAGAACTGCTAAAACCATAATCGAAAGGGACGAGTATTTATAAACAATTGTCTACGCAAGATACCCAATGTCCGTTGATCGGATACCATCAGCAGCAGCCTACTGTGGGAGAGAATAAACCAGCTTCCATCTGAATAGTAAATATGGAAGATAAGTTGGAGGTTTATAGGACATAGATTGTGGGAATCAACAACCTGCATCATGAGGCATGCGGTACCTTGGAAGTCTGAATGCAGGATGGATAGAGGAAAATTGAAGAACAGCTTACGTCGAGAATCGGAAGGAGATATGTAAAGGATAAATATCGGCTGTAAACAAATTTAAAGAAAAGTCCTGGTCGTGAGCCTATGCTAATTCACGAGGGGTATTGGGTGTAAGTAAGTTCTTAATTTGTTTTATCAGTTGCCGAACGTATTATGATGAATCATATTGTCCCGACAATTTACGATCTACTATTTAACTAGAATATCAGCTGTGGATAGCCTCTCTTTTTAAATAGGTTCACACTAAAAGTCTACATTCTTGTTCAAAAAATGAACATTATAACTTGTTCAAGTAATTAGAAGGATATACAATACTTTATTGACGCAATTTATATTCATTCTTGTGCAGTGAATATAAAAATTTTAACCCGGACTGAAAGAAAATAACATATATAATTATAAAAATTGATATATTCATGACATTAATTTAAGTTTGGTTTTTTATTTGAAATGTCACGAGAAACTGCTTTCCACATATAGAAATTTTCAACGTTTTTAAAGCTAAGTAAGTAATGAACCAAAGGATAAACCCGTATATGAAAAGTTTTACGTTTCTCAAACAACTTCGTACCGAGCTGAATTAACTCTTTAGCAAAACGAAAATCTACCAATTTACCATTTTAAAGCTATCAGAGAGAAATACGATTATCTTGTGTCGCAAATAAAGAACTGTTTTGAGGTACAGTTTATATATAAATTTTGTTGAAAGAACTGGGAAATAAGTATAATTAGTTAGTATTTAGTAATGAAACTATTCAGTTGGGTGACGAAAATAACATTAAACATCTAAATCGATATAGTTGCAAAAAGTATACTAACTTGTTGTCCGAATGCTGTTTTCTTGTCAAGTGGTAACCAAGAGTAAGTTGTGAATATTTTAAATGATTTATTTTCAAGATTATTCTCCGCATATCAGTTGCAGAGACTTATGGAAAGGACAGACTTGTGTGTCAAATGAGATTGATGTTTTCAATAAATCATGAATAATTTGATTGTAAATTTACTGCTTATGTCAATGCATTAAGAAAGAGAGTGAAATCTGAATGATCAATTTTTTTCAGAGAAAATTTCGAACAACTAGGCTAGTAGACACAATACGCTTAGAATATCATTTACCATAAACAGTACCAATGCATGTACCGACCTAGGGAATTCTGTCGTTGAACGTACGATAGTTTAAACTTTCCTCCGTCTAAAATATAAGTGTATGAGATTAAGATATTTTCTTCAGTAATTTGAATAGTTTGTTGTTCAAGTTAAAATCAGTTACGATTTCTTCTTAATACATTTCTTATCTACATTTTAGAGTATTTTGATCGATTTATCTGACTTTATTTTCATGTAAAATGGTTTGACAAGCAAAGCATTGCGATCAATTTTATGTACGATAGATATTAAAGCAACATGTACACATTTTTCAAACAAACTTTGTTTCGGTTTGTTACATTAGCAAAGATTTATTTTCTAAATAGTTCATAAAACTTACGTTATTACATTGGTCTTTATTTGACTAAGTTATTTAGTGCTATTCACAGAAGTTAAATTGATTGTTATTTATTAGTCATCTAGAAGTTATATTTTCCCATTTCATTCATGGAGTATTTGGATTTAAAACAATATGAAGAATTGAGATCGAAGAATTTTAGCTAACGCACAACATAAATACCCGTTTCTCATATTAATTTATTCATCACTGGAAATAGATATTGTTATCACCAAAACCTTAATTATATTCAGTGATGCTTATTTGGAAATGTATGGTTCAATTCTACCACTTATTAATGTTAGAAATACATAACTAGTGCAAAGTAGAAGACTGTTCTCATTCGTAATTGTTACATTTCCGCAACTTATATTTTTATCAATATACATTACTTTATATATATAAATATCATAGCTGATTTTGCCTACAGTAAACCGCCTTTTAATTTACTTTTTGGCTATATGCTTTTGAGTTAAATTTCATGGTAAGGAAAAGGAAACTTCCGAAAATATTGAACCACAACGTATAACATTTAACATACCCAAAATAATTATTCGTGAACTAGTTGTAAAAGAAATATACACAAAATTTACTTTTTGACATAATCGTTACTTTTGTCTGCGATAAGTTAACACACTCATGACAATGACTTTATAAACTATCTCCATCTTCTAGAAACGAAACTCAACAAGCAGCTAGTTCAGATTGTTATACGTATTTACAAAAGAGTGACGTCCAACAAATACGTTTAATAAAACAATTGCATGAAATGACGATAAAATTGTGTATGGCGAAGAAATATCTAAATAAAAATGGTTCCTTTTAACGCAGATCTACAAGATTTATATGTATTTGTTGAATCATGATAACCAGAATTGGACATTTTCAATTAGTGCAGTCTGCTTTGTCTAGGAGATACGGTCGTGCGCATTCACAATAATATTTCAGTCATTTACTTCGGCTTATAGAAAGTACTGTGTGAGCAGATATTTAGTGTTGATGGAACGGAAATTCTAATTTTTATATATATTAACAAGTTAGTTAATATTTCTAGATAATGTTCAGATGAAGTCATTTACATAACATTCAACCAGATAAAATTAATCTTTTAATGTATACATCTGAAATCTTATTTGCTTTATCTAGAAAAGATATGTAGAACACATCTGTTAGCTGTCCAAACAAAAAATGGTATGCATATATATATATATATATATATATATATATATATATATTCATAATAAGACACATCCGGTCAGTGTTTACACAGATTTAGTAAGCAAGTGCATAAATATAAACATTTTAAAATAATACTGATGGTTATCGCTCCCAAGAATAAGTAGATATTAACATATAAGATTCACGAAAATATAATTGTTCTTCAACATTTGTGGAGAAAGAAACAACAAATATAGTCGAAAGTTTTTGCTTTGTCCATATAAATTTAAAGAGATTATATCGTTCCATTTTATTTATAACTTAGTTCTTTTAATATAAAACAATTATACAGGCGTAAATATTTTTATTTTCTATAATAATAATGGGTGCTTCTTGATTAGTAGCAGAGAAATTTTGAAACGGACTTTTCAAAATCCATCTTTAGCTTACATATTCATCATAATTAATTGCTTGAGAGGAGCCGTGATCAGGGGACTTCAATTGAGTCAGGTGTGAGGCAGTTATCCACCGAATACAGCAGAAGATGATCATGCAATATCATAGTAAGACATTGTCGCCACTGAATGACTCCTCAGTGATCTTGAGGTTGAGCGTTTGCGCGCGAGACTGAAGGTCCTAGATTCGAGTCCCGGGTGTGAGATCGCGGATGCACACCGCCGAAAGTCCCAAGGACGGACTGGCCGTCCAGTGCTTCAAGCCTTCAATGGTTGTTTAA